CGGAGTCAAGGGTGGGTTGGGTAGGGCATGGGCCAAGATGTACGGAACACACATGAACTAGCTAGGCCCCGCCCACTGTGGGCGGGGCGTGCGCACAGTTGTGAGCTACATATTTCAAAAATTCGTAGTTTGGTTCCAAAAGAGCCCCGAGAGTGGAAAAAGTGGCAAACGATAGGCAATCAGTTGGCGGACGAAATGAGTGAGACAAACCCATTCTGGGCGGGGCGTTCTATAGGTGGGCGGTGCTTGCTACGAGACTTTCAAAAATTCGTAGTTCGAATATTCTCCAGCTTCTCTCTTGCTGTAACCTCGGCATTGTTGTATGATTCGTTAATACTGCTGTGCCTCTCGAGGTTTTTAGGTGGAATATTTATTTAGCGGCCTAACGTTTCGACGTGGTCGTCTTCTTCAGAGGCCTAAACGCGTTTCGAGTTAAGGAGATGAACACTACCCGTCAAGCACCTAACTGGTATGAGGCGGGGTCGGCTCACGACAGCGCTGGGTAGACATAAAAGTGAGGAGCATAATGGCGACAACTTCGAGATCAAGTGTATAATATTGGCGCAGGAGACGGAAATTTCTGCTAGGAAGGCGTTGGAGGCGTTTTGGATTTCCAGCAGGAATCCTAGGATGAACAGCAGAGATGAGTGTCCGTCAATAGCTAATGACTTTTTGCCGTTCATGCCATACTGCGAATTATAAGTAGCGGTGTTACGTGCGTCTCCTTAACATTATACGTATAAGGAGACCCTACAGTAGGTCTCATTCGCTACTGACTAACATCCGCATGTGACGGCGGATTTGCGGTGGAACCCTGGTGAGTGCGCTTTTCGAATTCTGTAGAATTTTCTTGTTGAGTTCCGAACACATCATCGGAACTGCTAGGGTTGGTTGGGCGCTTGGCGGGGTAGTGTTCATCTCCTTAACTCGAAACGCGTTTAGGCCTCTGAAGAAGACGACCACGTCGAAACGTTAGGCCGCTAAATAAATATTCCACCTGAAAACCTCGAGAGGCACAGCAGTATTAACGATTCGTAGTTCGTTCCAAAAGAGTCCCGAGAGTGGAAAAAGTGGCAAACGATAGGCAATCAGTTGGCGGACGAAATTAATGAAGCACACCCCTGATGGGCGGGGCGTTTGCCGAAGTGAACGGTGCCGAGGACAAAAACCCTCAAAACGCATCCGAAAAACCCCACGAAATGGGGAGTAAGGTAAAAATGAGCAATGGTTTGGCAGATGAAGTTAGTGAGGGATAACCGTAGGGAGTATACCAAATGGTTGGTACCGTCGGCAATAGGTTATTCTTCGATTCCTCATCACTAAGGGGAGTGCCGCATAGAAAATTTTGATGACTGTCTTCTAGGGGGGGGAGGGGGGTATATACAAGGAGTGAAACGGTATAATATTTTTTCGATCCATTCGGCCGGCGAAGCCGGCCGATCCGACTGGCCCTCCCTCTCATGGAAAACTTCTCACCGGGACCCACTTCACACGCGGAAGGAGGACGATAATCTCTTTCCGGGTCGTCGGTAGCCCTTGATTGTTTTTCTTCTACCAACTTTGACTCAAGCATGAGGCAGTGTGACGGGAGAAAGCCCCAGCCGAGACTAAAATGAAGGAGCTGCATGAGGAGTACGCCTACGTTACCGGACAGCCCACTAATGCTTAAAAGTCGAAAGTCACAGCTTGAAGTCGATTTTGGGTCAACATGTCCATTTGAAATCGAGTTGGGAGCTTGTGGAACTAGTACATAGATTCACGGTCGGTCTCCAAACACCGCAGCCCAAGAGCGCGTAGAGCCGTTGGCGCCATAATTTGGTACTCTGCGTAAAATACTAGCAGGGCTCTATACAGTGTGAGAGGGCGAAAAGTAGATGTGAAACAGTTAAAAATTTGCTAAGAAAACCCTTTGTTCTTAATGACTCAGAAAGAAATTTCGGACAATACGAGCATCAGGTACGTCGTCCATTTGTGGGCGGGCGGGCGCGGTGGGCGTTCGGGTCGGTATGTTGTAGCTTGATAGGGCCTTATAAGGGTACTTTCCTTGGAAAAGGCGCTACGCAGCGCCTGCTCAGGGTCGCGGAATTCCCGTCCTGCTAGGCACATTAATCCGTCTCAGAGATTATCATGTCAACTGCCCAAAAGGGAAGCTTGGTGTAGGTTAGCCCTCCCTCAGCTTGCATGAGTAAGGAAAACTGCGCAGTTCGACTCCACGTAATATCGAGTTAACTTTTTGCTTTGTCGCCAACTGGCATTATCGAGCGATCGGGTCTACATGGTGCTTTAGAGTGTGAACCTCAGATTCTAGTGGCCAGGACCGATAACAATGGTGGATACGATCGTCTCAGCTTATGCTGACGCTTGTCAGGTCAGGCAGCGTTCAGACTTCTCGCGCTTGGAACGCGCATCGATTGTCGCGTTTCAACGCGCGTTCTTGTCTCGCTTCAATTGTTGCTGTCGCTTGTAAATGAACACACCACAATTACAAGCGCGCTCCAATTGCACCAGACTCCGGGCTTTCCCTTATGTTCTTTCTTCCGGTAGACAACCCTTTTTTCACTGCTTCTCATTTCTGCCTGATTCTTAGCTCCTCTTTTTCACTTTGACATTGAATTTTAATGTAGTTTTTGACGTTTTTGACGACGTTTTGAGTTTTTTGAGTTTTGACGTTTTTGACGACGAGTTTTTGAAACGGTATACAAAATCAGTAACAGAGTGTCCTTCGTCAAGAAGGCACTAAAATTCAGTGTTAAAGAGGAGCTGAGAATCAGACAGAAATGAGAAACAGTGAAAAAGGGGGTTGAATACCGGAAGAAAGAACAAAAAGGGAAGGCTGGGATCTGGTCAATTGGAGCGCCTGTAGTTGTGGCGTGTTTATGCGAACCAATGCGTTCACGCGCGACAGTCAACGCGCGTTCAAGCGCGACAAGTCTGAACGCCGCCTGTGAGGGACTGAGTGCTGCTCCCAGCAATCAGTGGGATCATTACTATATTGACAATTGCCAGAAAGCATGAAAATGTAGCAGAGTTGCATGAACTCAAGAGCACACATCCGCGTTACCATAGCTTACGGTCATTATCCCTGCAAACGAGGAGACGAGCACTGGAGCTCAGCCAGGAGTTGTTATTCGTGCAAACGAGAAAGCATGGATTGAGGGTTGGGGGGAGTGGTCCCCTTCCCACCAATGGCGCCATCCTGAGCCAGCAACAAGCTGTGGGAAAGGCTACCCTAATTCCCTTCTTTCTCCTCCCTCCCAGTCCGAATGCTCTCGTTTCCACGAACAGTGATTGTAGATTCATAATTCAGGTGTGGGGTTACGACGAAAAACAACCACAACTTGTTGAGCATGTTATTAAGCGAATGATAGGCTTCAAACCGGGTGAGTCACTTCCGAACCCCTTATTTGACTAGACCTTTTTGATTATTACTTGCCAATTGCACGGAAATGCTTCGAAATGTGCAAATAATCTGCCAAAATGGTCTAGTAGCTTTGATGGAATTCCAGATCCTCGCTTACAGATCCTCTCCGTTTTGACGTGTTAGTAGACGAGGTAAAGCGTACCTATGAGAATGTCGCGCTCTTGGAACCTATTTCGCTGTCGGAATACTATGTTTTGCAACTACTAAAAGATCGGTGCTGGACCAACAAGCAGCTGCTCGTCGTATGCGAAGGAAAGTGTATTTCTCTGAAATTCCGGAAGTTGTTGCACTAAGTTGCTGCGCTTGATACGGTAAACTGATTTTAGATCTCAAGCTAGACGAAGTCGAGGCATTCGGAAAAGAGATGCTAGGCGTTTTCTTTGTAGAATTTTTCGTACATGGAAACGTAACAGAACAAGTACGTTCCTTTCTCCATTGTGTCACGGTGATTTACATAAAGTCATATTCATTTATATTCATTTCAATTTGTATTTATTATTCAGTTTGTTCTGAAATCGCTCTGTTTACCCTGCTTTCCAACCCATGCGCAATTTTTTCTCTACCAATTTTTCGCGCGCGTTGTCGCAAGCGAATGTTAAGTGTGCCGCGGCTCAGAAGTCCGCCGAGGGCGACCAAGGATCATCTCCGATGACGGATGTTCGGCATCCATACGTCTCATAGCGGCCGAGGGTAACCAATGACGATCCTTTCCGATGACGGAAATTTGGCTTCCTTTACGCTCGTAGGATTAATAACACGTGCTTGTACA